CCCCCAATTTTTAGCAATCATTTCCAGCCTCTGCTTAGTCTGTGTACAGGGTGAGCCAGAGACAGTACTCGGAGAGAGAAAACAAACCTAGCTCAACATGCTTCGGCCATGGGTGCTTTTCCCAGAGAACACAAAGGAGGCTTCAGAAAGCCCTGGCTCTCAAAAGCTGCTTCCTTGTACCAGGAGCCTGAGCAGGAAGAATGTGGTGCCAGGTGACACCCCACCCCCACCCCCCATCAGGGTATCTGCTCACAAAGATGTCCCTGGAAGCAGCTGGGTAGGAAAGGGCAGGCGGGGTCCCAGGGCGCACTGAGCGTCACACCTGCTCCCCTTGCTCTTGAGCTGCTCGCCCACCCCCACCCCCACCCCCAATCACATAGTTTGGGAACCCTTTTGCAGTCTGGTGTGCATGCCATATGATTGGGACAGCTGTTCCACCCTACCCGGGTCCCTCCACGCAAGTAGGAAATACAGTGGATCCACCCCACACGTCCAGTCTGTATTGATGTACCTTGTCAGTGTTTTGCTGTTGGTTTTCTAAAACAATCTGGTCAATAAACCTTCTCCAAATCTACTTAGTTCAAAGCTGCCTGATTGTCTGTCTCGGGGTGTGTGTGTGCACATGTGTTCACCTGTGTGCCCTGAGCAACAGTCCTGCCCAGCCCCCACCCAGGACCGCCGATTCGAATATCCTGCAGCCATCCGCCTTGCCCCCCACTCCCCAGTCCCCTGGGGGAGCGCCTGGACACAAGGTGCCACCAGCAGGGGTGTGGGGCGGCCCCACTTGTATTGACCCATCCCACAGTGCCATGAAGTCATGGGCTAAGGGTGGATCCTGGCTTTTCTCAGGAGTTGGGGGAGCTACAGGGAATTGGGGGTGGAAACATGAGCCTGTCCCCACTGTCATTTGATGCCCGGGAAGAGTTGTGCCCTTTGCAGGGGCCCTTGGGGATGCAACTCACTTCCCCCTCCACCCTGTTTTTTTCTGGATGCTTCCCTCTCCAGAGCAGTCGGGACAGGCATCCACTGCTTATGTGGAGGAAGGCGACCAGCCTTGTCCCATCAGCACCTTATGGTGCCGAGCAGGCCTCTTCCTTTGTTTCTCTGTTGAGACGGGCCGGGAAGCAGTGAGCCCTGTGAATTGGGGCCTTAGAGGTGCTCACTCCCTGCCCTCTAGTCAATGCTGACTCCTAGCC